TATTGTTTGTCATCATACACACTACTTTTATACATTACAGTCTCAACTCCATGCACATTAACATACTTTATCACTAACGTCTATTACAATGTGGATGTTAATATTGTTAATGGTTACTTTCACTACATTATATTGGTGGTGGTGCCAGAAGCATGATAAGATGGAAACTAAAGTTATCGAATTAATAACGTATACACGCGACAATGCTGTCCTAGGTACCCGTCAATATTTTATGAGTACATCGGATCATGAAAAACATATTATTAGAATTCAAGAAGAAATTTGTTCGAGAAAATCCGATGAACGATTAAGTTTACATAAACGGATTTATGAGAGTAATACTATTCGTAATTCACCATATAAACAAAATTCGAATGTTTATAAGTCAGTTGATCTCCATTTATTAAATAAAATTTTATCAATTAATTTAGAAAAAATGGAAATAAGTGTACAACCTGGATTAATATTTCAAGATCTTGTTGATGTATGTATTAAATATAAAGTTATGCCTTTAATTGTTGTAGAGTTTCCTGGTATTACGATTGGTGGATCGGTACAAGGTGGTGGTCTAGAAAGTTCAAGTTTTAAACATGGATGGGTAATTGATACCGTTTTGAAGATGGATGTGATCACGGGTGATGGACAATTATACAAGTGTAGTCCCACTCAATATAACGATTTATTCTATGGTGTATCAGCTAGCTTCAATACATTAGGTATAATTACACAGGTCACACTTCAGTTACAGCCAGCATTCAATTATGTTAATCTTTCCTATTCTCATTTTGAAAATTGTGATCAAGCTTTAAAAGAAATTGAGAACATATGTACAAGCGATGAACAACCAAATTATTTAGAAGGAATAATTTTTAAACATAATTCTATAATGATCGTCAAGGGTTATCATACAAATATTGTACAATATCCATTGTTAAGCTTTGGAAAATATTATAACGAATGGTATTATAAAGTGATACAAAAATTAACTTCAAAATCAGATAACATATCATCTATTCATCATTGTGTCTCCTATTGTGATTATGTATTTCGTTATAATTATGGAGCATTTTGGATGGCATCAACTCTTTTAGATCATATACCATTAGGAGAAACCAAACTATTTCAGTTTCTATTTGGTTCACTATTAACAACCAAAAACTTATTTCGAACCCTTCATTATGATGATAAAATGTTTTTGAAGTTATCAAAATATAAAGTTGTCCAAGATATTCAGACATCGTTTAGTTGTGCAAAAATATGTTTAAATTATGTTCAGAATGACATGGCAATCTATCCAATATGGCTATGTCCAATTAAATGTACAAAAACGCCACAGTTTTTAGCCTCACATTATTCGCTCGATCACGATTTTATGCTAAATATAGGAATCTATGGTCGACCACTAAAGTTTCCATATAATCCTGGTGAACTTCATAAAAAACTTATTGAATTAATGATTGATACAAATTCAAGATCAGGATTTTATGCACAATGTTGGCATACAAAAGATCAATTTCAAAGACTTTTAGGTGAAAATTTAGAAAAATGTGAACAAATTAAAGTGAAATATAATTCACAAAATAAATTTTTTAATTTATTCGATAAAGTGACATTGAATGAAGCGGAAAGAGAACAATTAGCACAAACAGTTGAAAACTTGAACGATGAAAAACAGTTAATAATGAAAAACTTTGTACAGTTATTCAAAGCACAGTGTGTAAAACTACCATAAATCGATATGATAGATAAAACAATTACCTTGTATACGGTCAAAACTTCTGATTTCAGGGACTCCCCATCCGTTTTTTTACCAGCTTGCAGGAGACACTTTGAAGTGTATGTTCCAAAGATTTTTTCACTTTGTGGACTTGTAGTTTTTAATATCATTTGGAGTTATTTTGCCATATTTTTAAAAATTCATTTCATATCTATAACTGAAGTTTGTAGAGTTCATTCTGGCGTAGTTCGATGAGAAAATGAAATTTTATAAGCAAAAAATCTTAAAATAATTATCGGATTTGACGTAGAAATTTTAACTTTTACGATTTCTTGGTGGGATTTCAGGGCTAAAAGTGTTTTGAAGAAATCCTTTTCGCTAGTTTCACTTGAACCAGGCGTTTTGGATCAAAACTTTGAGTACAAAAGTTGCTCAGAATCGAATTCCTGAGTACTTCACGAGAGCTTCTTTCAATATATTTTTGTGAATTTTTAAACTAAATTTTACGTTTTCTAAAAATCTAAAAATTTCGCATATTTCAATTTTGAACCCTAGAAAAATGTTTTTCAAAAAAAGCTCTGGCGAGAGGTTCAGGAATTAATTACTGAAAAAAATGTTGTAAATTTTGTGTATTAAAAATTTTCCTTTCCCTTCTCTGTTCATGATAAAAACTTGATTCTTACGCAGATCGATAGAAAAATGTGTGAGAATATGTGTGGAAATATCTTAAAGTTGTACTTTTCTTCTGTTATTGATCAATTAGTACTAATTAACGCGAATTTAGCCTAGTCGTCATTTTTTCCAGTAATTTATTTATTTTTTTTATTCAAATATCTCGTCATCATTTGAACATTTCGTCATCATCATCAAATATTTGGCTACTCTGAGTTATTTATCTATAGGGGGAAATAATTTTACTGTTATACGAATTGAAATAGCAAAACTTCAACGATTAGATTCCCTTGATTTATCTTCATCAAAGTTCACAAAAATTTCACGTGAATTAACATTATTAAATAGTCTGACAGTATTAGACTTAAATAATAATCTTCATTCATCAGATTTAACAGGCATTGGTTCATTTTAACATTTGCAATATCTTTATTTATCTGGCAACAATATCACAATGATAGCGAAACATGATTAATTTTCACATTTCATCAAAACAATATAACTACTTTGATTTAGATTTCTATAAAGTAAAATTAATCAAAGGCAAGCTTCTTTTCAATCAGTAAATTTACAAACTATCTCTCGAACAGCTTTTTCTTTTCTCTTGGAAAACAAACTCAACATTTTTCTTATCCTGATCCCGGGATATTTTAAGCAAATTCAAATATAAATTTGATTTCATATTTTATTGAAAACCGAATTTTCTTTATATACTACGAATCGAATTTGCTATTTTCTCAATCAAGTCTAAATCATGACTCAAAGACATCTTTAAATTCATTCTGAACAATTAGAAACAGAAGAAGTTTCTAATTGTTATCAGCAATAGCGGTCGATTCATTTCGAAGCTGTTCAATCTAGTTTTATTTTTCGACGACTTAGGGAAGTCGTCAAAATTCGCATCGGTGAATTTATTCACCGGTGAATAAATTCACCGGTAATTTGATTGGAAACAAAATTGAGAACAGTATTATTCAATATGCCTGAGAAAAAGAATATGGAACTATCGTATAACAGAATGACGATGTATGTATATATTCT